GACGCAGACGCCGAGGTAGACTCTACTGAAGGAGTAGCTGGTTGCGGTGTTGAATTATCTGCAACTGGAGCGATGCTAGTCCAAATTGCACCAAGCATATCAATTTCATCTCCACCACGACCAAAGAATCCTCCAAGCTGGAAGCCCTCTGGAGCTGTTACCGACTTGCTTTCTGCTGTCTTGGTGCCTCCCGATATCGTGTTGCCCTTACTGGTACCAAAGCTTAAATAGAAGATGCGCGTGTGATCATTTTTCTTTCCCCAGTGAGCCTCCATCGACGTGATATACTCATCGACGCCAATCGAGAGAGTGTTTGCGTCCCCACCAGTTCCACCGTGGGTGAAAGTTGTCGCTGTAGGTGCTTTGATGTTGAGTGAGACACCATCTACACGCTCACCAGACCGGATCGTAATCGACCCAACGGTTTGTCCTGCAGCTGCTGCTGCTTCATCCGAGAATTCGTTTCCGTGGGGTCCACCAATGCTTTCACTTAGCTGAACAGAATCCTCCACAGAAATGGCAGGTGCCGGTGCTTCTGTAGCTACTGGTGCCTCAGTAGCTGCAGAATCTGGAGCCTTTGTAGCAGCTGAAGTCTCTGTTTCAGATGAGCTGTCAGCCGCAGACTCTTCTTCATCGCTGGCCGAATCGGACTCAGAACCAATGACATCTGCAGAAGCTGACGATGAAGCCGCCGCCGTGGAGGCTTCAGACAAGCTGCTTGCAGATTCTTCGTTTGAAGCCGAGTCCGATTGTTCGCTGCTCTCGCTGTTGGACGATGAAGCAAATAGGTTGTTTAGATTACTGTCGCTGCTGGAACTTGGAGCTTCGAATCCGGAACCAAATAGGTCATCCAAGTCAATCTTGCTGCCACCCTCATCGTTCAGTGTGCTGTCATCGTCAACTAGAGAGCCACTGCCGCTGTCCGATACCTCGCTGGATTCAAAACTAGAACTACCGAGACTTCGAGCCGAGGTTACGGTGACAGCTACTGCCGCGACCAAAAGCCGAGAGACCGCTCTCATCGAACGTGTGGGCCACTATCCACAAGTCTGAAAATGATGCGCAAAGAGTTTTTCAGTGCACGCTTGTGATCAAGCCAGACACTTGTACTAATACAAGTCTTGTAGAACTCAAATCCAAAGAAAGCAGAACTTCCCAATCCGATGTGGAAGTAATGTTTGTCGACATCCCATGTGTCGCTCTTCGTCAGTTCGTTCTTTGGTCTTGTTTTCTCGAACGAGTCGTCGATTACCGTGTTATCCATATAGGTTATGCCTGAACTTGCGATCACTTTTCAGCAACTATTGTACACTGTAGAGAACTCGCCAGGCAAAAAGATGATAGCACTGATTCAAAGGGTAACACCAGCGCAAGCTCTGTACAAACAGCCATAATATATTCCACGAAATCGGTTGAACCGATTCCAGATACCTGCCTGTCGGTTATCCTCTTTTTAATAGGATTTCACTTGTTCAAATTCTGTCGGAGAGAACACGGCAGTAGTGGAGCATCGTGTGCTCCACTTAGAGAGGCGACGTGTAGGTGTTAATATTGGTCGGTGCATTCATTGCTTCTATCAAATTAGTGCGGGTGTTGTGCGGCGTCACTACACCAATACAGTGGCGAGCTATAGCTTTGAAGTGCGGCAAGTTCACCACGTGTAGCGCGTCATGGTGTAAGTCGGATCGAGTTGGGTCCTTTCCAGCAGATTTTCCAGCAGATCCGGCTTCACACGTAGCTGTTTTTCATCCGTACCCCAAGCGTTTACACTCAGTTCTCTGGCATGGACACCGCCAGCAATGAAGATGCTGTCCACACCAGTGTTCTTCGCACCCTGAATGTCGTGGTGGAGTGAGTCGCCAATATGAACGACCTTCGACTTGTCCGTCACATGGGCCATTCGCAAACACACTTCGAAGTGCTCCTTCATCGGCTTCCCAAAGTAGATGACCTCACCTCCCATTTCCTCGTACAGCTTGGCAATGCCGCCTCCCATGTGCACGAAACGATCGTTAGCCATAACAGCTAGCACATCCGGGTTCGGACACAGCAGCGGCAGCTTCCGTTCCAGGCCGCCGCGCAGAAACTCCTTCATAGCGTCGTTGACTTCGCCTGTGTGGCGGTAGTCGGTGGGCAAAACTTCGGTCACACGGTCACTGTAACAGATCTGTTGTGTGCCGTCCACCATGAGAAACTGAGCCTTGTCCAGCGGCACAATCTCCACATCAAGGCCATGGAAAGTGGACTCGGGATTCGAGGCACGCTTGGTCACCTTTCCGTCCAAGTCAGAGGTCATGAGTGAGCAGCGTGCATGGGTGTCGGGTCGCTCAAGTAGGTAGGTGTGGCACACCTCTCCTCCAGTAACACCTTGAAAGCTTGTGGAGAAACCCATGGGCCCCAGTTTGATGGGGAGGCTGCAGGAGCGGTGTGACGTGTTGGAGAGTAGTATCACTTGCTTGCCGGCTTGGATCATGCGGTTGAAGCAGTCGACAGCACCAATGTATGGGATTGTGCCATTGTGCAGTACACCGTATTGATCGATGAGCACGACATCGTACTCGTCCAGCACGTCTGACAGGCCATTGATGATCTACAGGCGAAGAGGGGAGGGGGTTAATGCTAAGTGGACAATGGGGACTGCATGTGTACCTTGGTCATGCTGAGAGCCGATGGGGTTTACTGGATGGCATTCAGACGAAAAAACTATTAAAATTTTAAGGTTTTTTTCGTCTGAATGCCATCCTAGCCAATCAGCATGCGTACCGACAAGTGTTTTTTTTTTTGAAAAAACACGCGTCCTTTCTCGCCCTTGACCGAGAGATCTGATTGGTCATGCCGGAGTATTTTTTTTTATTTTTTTGATATGAACAATTTAAACCGACGTAAATTACCATGGGATAAATACCAATTTATTTTAATGCATTTTAATAGGCTCCCATTTGTCATAACCTATAGAGGCCACCGGGTTAAATTTATTTAACCCATCTCAAAATGGGTGTTCGAAAAAGTGTACCCATCTATTTGTGGGTGAATTGACAGAATTTGGCTCAACCAACGAAAGACCGGGAAACCTCTTTAATTATTCGCCAAAATTCACCTTTAATTCAAGGTTTGAATTCATAGCACCTCAAAACCATTCGTTGTGAGCAGAGGTCAGCGGTGGCCTCTCTTCAAAAGTGCATTTCACGCAACTATCTTCAGCACTTTACAACCAAGCCGCAACTACCCCTCGGTCAGCATGCCTCGCACCGGAAGAAAGCGAATGATTGGTAGCGGCTCCAAGCCGAAGACATACACGCGCCTGGCGATACTTGCCGCTTCAAGTTGAAGGTACTGATGTATCTGGATGACCATACAATGGAGAAAATTGTCATTCGATTCTTTCTGGCATTTATTTGGGCTCGAAGAAGCGTCTTTGTTACACGTGGAAGGCGTCTAGAGAGATAATCAAAGCTGACTGCGCCCTTGGTTAGGGTAACCATCAGCGAAGCCGGTGCTACATATTACCGGTGCATACAGCGTTACCAGTAGCTGTGAAGGAGCAGCTCGTAAGTTGGGTAAATGATCTCCGCGCGGATGGTGTTCCGGTGACGGGAATGATGTTAGCGCTACAAACACGAGAGCTCTACAACACTATGGGCCTTCCTCGTGGAGCGTTCACTGCATCTTGATCGTGGAGAAAGGGTTTCCTTCGCCGCCACAAGCTAGCAATTCGCCGAAGGACGCATGAGGGTAAATAACACCGCTAGAAGCGAGTGAAAAACTTGCTGAGTTCAGTTGCCAAGTCCTAGACGAGATGAAGGAGCTACGCATTTCCAAAGTGTATAGCGTCGATTGGATAGGCAATAGCGTGGCCTAGCCTAGTCTTTACATGATGTCTAACCTTGTGTGTGGCAAGGGTGAACTACGAATATGCTCCTGCAAGCACCGTCGACAAGAGAGGCGCTAGGACCGTCTGGATCAAGTTCGCGGGCAAGTCGTAGGAACGCGCAACAGCGATGCTGCTCGCAGACAGTGCCGGCTACAAGGCTGATCCGTTCTTGGTTTTTAAGATCAAACCGCCCAAGAACTCCGAGAGAACACCGTTAATCAGCACGGATCTGGGCGCCAACTCTAGGACGAGTTGCAAAAGCGACAGGTAGGTGTCCCAAACTTCGGCAACAGAGCGGGGTGGTGAAGCAGCGAGCTGTTCATCGAGTTTCCTTGGGTACCACCGTGGTCGTAGGGAAAACATACATGAGCCTGTGCTACTCTTGTGAGATGACTTTCGTGCCATTCGAGCCAGGATGTTCTTATCTTTGCTAGACTTCTCTATGTAGAGCTCACGAAAGTCCCACCGGGGTATGCCAGCCAGCCAACTTGGCCTGAAATGCCCGCTTAACGAGCAACTACGGAAGCAATCGATGTATTTTCTCCGCCGCTGGAGCAGACCGGTTCAAGATGTCACCACCGACAAAAGTAGACATCATTCAGTGGATCAAGCGTGCATGGGCCTCTGTAGTAGGTCTTAGCGATAAAACCACTGCTAGGGAAGCTGGCGCTTCCTGGTAAACCCAAAAGTCTACTGTGAGTCTTCTAGAGTAGAATTTCTAATGTCCATTCGCTGCCAAGCGCGTCCTGTGCCTTGGCTGAGTTTTCCTAACCCCTAACTAGCCAGCTCAGCATCGCTTTCCTGTGCTTTGCCCTGTGTGAGTGGGCGGAGGCTTGCCATTAAACTATCCCCCACTACACTGCCCTCCCAAGCCTTTGTCCACTCACGTTCCATCGCGCTGCACGTTCTGTTGTGTCTGAGGTGACGATCGGTATGTTGACCTAGGCTTGAGCTTTGTTTCAGCGGCAATGTGCCGTTCGAACTTTCTGTCGTTCGTAGTAGCTGCATACTCTGTCAGCAGTACTGGTATATCTTTGCTCAGTTGTTTGGTTGATTCCCACGAGTCTTCGATCGACTCGAGTCCTTTCCAGCTAATCAGCACTTCATAGTCGTTTTTGTCCTTATTCCATCGAGTCTCATTCAATTTCTCCACCGATAGTACAATACCTTGGACTGCCACGTGATCTCGCAGCTCTTCACTGACCAACAGCGACTTATCAGCGTAGAATTTTAATCGCGAGGGCTGGACGTCTGCCTCGTCCCCTGTCAGCAAATGGCGAACACAGAAAGAGTGTTGGTCGCCCGTGCGACTTGGTACGGCCCCACCCACGTTACCAAGAGTTTGTCGTGATGTTTTTGGTCGACTCGCGACCTCAACACATAGTCCCCGACGTCGAAGCTAGGTCGACGTGCGTACTTCTGCATGCGTTTGTTTCTCTCTGTCTGTTTTGCTCGTTCGCTGACCATCGGTTGGTGGAGTTCATGTATGCTGCTTTGGAGGTTGTCTAACCAGTCCGTTATGGCTTCAGGTAGCTCCGGTAGCTCTAGAATTTCCTTCTGTCTGGTATCCATGCATAACGTGAGCGGAGAGGGTAGTGACAATTCACAGAAGAGCTCCACCGGCGCTCGATTCACAAGGGACTGAACCGGTGTGTGGTTCAAACTGGACTGCAGTATCGGCACGAAAATGTCCAGTCGTTCGTGTCAACCAGGTACTACAGGCACAGCACACGAATGACTTGCATGATGTCACGGTTTGCCCTCTCTACGCTACCGTTAATCCAAGGATAGTATACGACAGTAAATTCATGACGCGCTTTCAAACGCCTGCAAAGTTCCGCCACAATCTCGGCCTTGAAATGTGATCCTTGATCGGAGATCCACACAGGTGCCAATCCATATCTACTATACCATGCAAGAATCGCCTCAACCACAAAGTTGCTCGTGAGAGTTGTGCACGACACTAGTTCGGTGAAATGGGTGGCCTGCCCAGGCCAAGCTTCCCATCAAGTCCACCAGAGGAGCGTAACCAGCCCCGCCGACGGGTACACAAGGTGAGCCCTCAGCAACCCCACGGTTATCGGAGTACCCCCTCCGTTAGTCGGCAGTCCAGGGCACTGTGTGTCAGAGTGGATCGCAACGTGATTTTGCGACCCCCCCCCCCTCCACCACAACAAGTATCATAGTACTCCAAAATCCTTGTTTCAAAAGCTCCGCTTCAAAAGCAGGAGCTTTTGAAACAAGGGTTTTGGAGTACTATGATACTTGTCTTCCTCCTCCTACTGCTCTCTTCCTCACTCCATCATCGGATGTTAATTCATCATTCAAACAAGAGGGATCCGGATACTCCTTCTTCCGCCTACTGAGAGCACCTCGGTAGTCCTTAGAGCTGGCAGCATCGAAATACAGAGCGTTCATCAGAATACGTAGACACGCCGGCGCTCACTTCGTATTACCACCTTCGAGGCGGCTCAGGCAGTGCCGTTCAAGAGTCTGGGCCATCTTGAGAAGCTTCTTCTCGATTGAGGCTCTGTTCTTCGGGTAGGTGTCGAGTAACCAGTTTTTGGCGTGTCGGTAGTAGTTCATGACGGAGTTGCGAGCTAGCGCCTTACCTCCTCGCCCTTCTGCACTCGTAAGATAAATCGCGAAGCGATCCATCAGCTTGACAAACTTTGCCCCAGTCATATCACCTTGTAGAGTGGCTGCGATATACTGCATATTGATACCTTCGGTCACAAAGAAGCGAGAGAACGCATTGATAGCTGTCTGCTGCACACGCTAGGCGTTGGCCGGTGCGAGGTCTTGAAGACTCATACTGTTTTCAAGTGTTTTTGTCGGTCAGAGGTGGAATAACCAAATAATGTAAAAACACTTGATGGTTTGTATGAATCCTAATGCATATTTAGTACCCTTGCCGACATTATATGTCGGCACAACGTCGGCAGCCGTTTCACCTAGCCCTAATAACTCGGATTGGATTAAAAAACTGCATCCACGACTTGATTGGTTGTTTATTCTCTGGATTTTATATCCAGAGTTTTAGCAGAGGTGCGATTCTACCTAAAAAAAACTCTCTTTCTTTATTTCCAATACTAAGAAAAAAGTCTTGTATTTTCCTTGTGTCGGTTTTTTACTGTACGATTCAATATGACTGTGATATCAGCGTGCCACATGGATTTACTAAACCAAAGTGGTGCTATTCCCTTTGAATTTAGATGGGCTGTCTAGAGATGTAATTTCTTCCCCATACAAAAGTTGCTATAATTACCTCCTATACTAAATTTCCTCTGCACACTTAGAATTACCCAGGTGAATGTTGCTTGTGTCGGCCAGGAGCAACATTCATAACCCAATAACCCAGTGAATGTTACCCCAAGCAATTAGGGCTAAATAAAAAAAATTGATTGACCCTCTGGGTTTTACAAGAACGGTCGGCGTTGTATTTTGCACAAATGCTTGGGGCTTTGGGTACCACTGAGTGACTGAAACGCTCTTGCGTGACAGCAACGCTCTTGCGGAAATCAGCGCTCCGGTTCCGTTCGCAATGACTCGATTACATAGATCGACATTTAGCTGGTGCACAAAGTATATGTGCTTAAACCGTTACGTATATGTAGAGTGAGCTTGTTTATGGTGGATCTAAAAACTTAAATTCAAATCTCGTCCACGAGGCATTACCGATGGTTAACATCTCCGGAAGGTAAAAAACAAAAAAACAGCGTAGATCCTAAAAAAAATGAAATTCAAATTTTAAGGCGCGTTCGCGACTGTTCTGTTCTCAAAGCGTAAGATTAAGAAACATAACATACACGTATTACACTTCATTCATATATGTTGATGTAACCACCCTCTCCGACCAGTTCAAGACGATTCTAGCTTAATAATCTACTCTGTCGATTGATGAAGTAGGTTTAAAGCACGTCTAATTAAACGTTTGTAGGCCAATTAGTGTACACGTATAACTATTTTTAAATTAGCTCATAATTAATGTAAAAAT